AAGAAGAACCATTACTGGAAAACAGGGGAAGAGTTTCTGTTTGAGGTTGATTTATGCTTACATATGTATTGAGCTGTCGAACGAAGCTGGAGAAGTTGTTGTGCTTGAAGAACCGAGGGAGGAGATTGATGGAGAAAGAATGAGGATCCCAGACGACGAAGCTGGTACCGCCCCTGCTCCATGAAACTATGTGGTTGGTACCAGGATCCTCCACCATGTCGAACGTCTTGGTCAAGAATGGAGGTGGCCCTGTTTCGTGGAGACCTTCCATGGGTTGTGGCGGCAGCATAATCGATGATGATAGGTCATCCTCGGACTGGGCAGAGCTCCGACCTGGGTACTCTTCTTTTACCAGAAAAGACGAATTCATGTCCGAAATTCTCCAAGATTCTTACAGGGTTTTCTGGGATTGGATCAAATTAAGAATCCAAGTCAAATGCCAGGTCCAAAATCAAAAGAACGAAGAACAAGGAGAGAGGAAATTCCTATGATAAGAGCAAAAACAGGGGAAAACTTGCTATGCTCGTAAGGAAGAACTCAAAGCTATGAACATTGAGCAGGACTGAGGATTCGAAGAAGAATCGAATGAGAATCAGAAAATATCTATAGAGAAAGGGAAGACAAAGAGATTTTTTTGTGCTCTGTTTTCTTCTTGGCGAAGGTAGTTTCTGCCTTTGTAAGTTTGCCACGCTCTGCATATAACAAAGCCATGAAAACGGTGTTTAGGGGGGATTATATAGACTTAATTTCGTTTATTTCAAAATTCATTTAGAACATTCTAGAATTGTAGGGAAGGGAATGGGATGATTCTTATTTCTTTTATTTTGTAAGTAAAACAAGAAAAAATTGGAATTTTTTATATTATATTATGGCCCTTTCTTCATTTAGCGAGTCTGGGTGGTCCTCCCTCATTAGGCAACGACCGGAATTCCAAGACTAAGGGGCAAGGCAATGGGGTAAGAAAGGTTTGGCGGTGGTGTGGGGTGGGACCAATGGATGTTGAAAAAACAAGGTTTAAGAAAATAGTTTACCTGCTTTTTAGTACAAGTTCAATTTAATTTTTGAGGTTAAAATTTAGTGAATTAAGTTTTAAATGTATTAAATCAGCTCAATAAACATAATAGTTCATCATCAAATTTAAGAATTTGGATTCATGTGATTAGGAGTTTGACTCCCACTAATTACTTAAAAAAATTTTCTTTTTCCCCCAAAATTACCCATGTTAAATAATAATAATAATAATAATTTTTAAATGTTTTATGTTTATATAGGATATATTTTTAAAATTATTTGTATAAAAATAGTCTTAAAATAGTAAAATTAAATATAATGTCCTAACTGTAAATTTAAAATAATAATAATAAAAAGACAACGTTTACATAAATGAAGCTTACTTATAATTAGATTCAGGTTTTGATTGGAACAACGGTTTAACTTTAGCTAATAGTAGAAGTGTTTAGAGACATGATTATGGCCATACAATACAAGTACTTGTTAGGGCTATACAAGTATTTGTCAGGGTTACACAAAATTTGTAGATATGTTTCATTGAATTGTCAAGCTAGAACAGTTAAAAAATTGTAATTATTAATTAATAATTTATTAAACAGTTAATAAATATTAGTTAAGAGTTTAAAATTAATTTATGTATTAATATTGTTAAATACTTTAATAAATTATAAATTAATAAAATTAATCAAATCAAATAAATTTATTTATGTGGCTTTAAAAAAAATTTTTGTGTGACCATAAGCATGGCTAACTCCACCAATTCAATTGTACTGAAGTAGACTAACTGAAATTTGATTTTAAAATAATTAAAACTGAATTAATTTTGAATGGTAAAAATTTCAAAGTTTCACCTACTTGGTCGATTAATTACGATATTGATTAACAACGAACTGAATCGATTACTTTTTTTTTTTCCTGGAACCCTAGCATCCCTCACCCCCACACCCCAAAAACCCACCTCCCCCTTTGCTATCTCTTGTACATGGTAGCTAAAAAACCCTAATCATGCCACAAGTCCCTTTCTTTAATGCTCATTTTCTCTTCTGAACTCTCTTTTTTCATTTTTTTTCTTCTACCGCTTCTATCGTGACTGGACGCCAAGGCATGAAGTGCATGGTTGCGTCTTGCAACTTCTCTTGAGCAATAACTAGAAAAATTAAGACGGTTTTAATCGGCAATGAAGAGGAGATGGCTGGGGCTAGTATATGATGTGAGTATTAACCTCTCTTGGGGATAGTATTTCCAAGGATATAAGCGGGTGGGGGATATTCCTAGTTCTCAAGTAGTTAATTAGTATAATGGCTAAAAGGTTAAAACCCTAATTTGGTTTTTCATTTTGACAAAAAGTCCTTTTTTAGTCCCACTATTTGAAAAACTCCTTTTTGGTCCATAAAGTTTGAAATCCGACCTTTTTTAATCCCTCCGTTAAGCTTTGATATTAAATGACGAAAATTTCAAAGTAAAAAACCAAAAAGAGATTTCTTTTAAAGTAGAGGGACAAAAAAAAGAGGCTATTTTAGCCCCTCTTTTATCTCTTTACTTTGAAATTGTTGTCATCTAATGTGCAACATATAGAAAACTTAATAGAGGAACTAAAAAAAAATCGAATTTTAGATTTTAAGAACCAAAAAATGGCTTTTTTAAGTAGAAAGATTAAAAAGAGATCAAATTTTAAACTTTAAATATCAAAAAAGAGTTTTTTTAAGTAGATGGACCGAAAAGAATACTTTTACTAAAGTAGAGGAATCAAATGGGATTTAACTCAGCTAAAAATATCGAATAACTTAAGATGCTTGTATTGACTTTCTTTATACGTACATTAGTAACTCTATTTGTGTCCTTATAATAATTGCTAATATAATCTCTAAAAAGGGATGACTTTTTATACTAAATTATATATATGTCATGAAAGTAGTGTTTGGAATTGTTGTGAAATATTGCAACTATAAGCTTTTCAGTATTTTATCATAAGAAAAATTATATTATTATTTTTTAATTATTTTGAAAAAAGTCTTATATACATGGACACGATCGCAAAATTATACAAAATATCAATTAAAATTAATTTAACCATGATAAATTAATACTTTTATGAGACATTGTATAAAAAAGTGTTGTGATCTATTTTAATACACAATATATATATATGTGGAAAAGTGTTTTGCAAGTTGTACTCTCAAATTTTTTTTGGAAAACATGTCTAAAAATTGATATTCTGATTCATATTTTTAAAAACCATCAGTTAGATTGAAAGTTCTATTCATATTGATCATGCATGTAAATTTTTATATCACTACTAGAAAAAGTAATAATTCAAACCGATCATATACGGACCAAATCATGTCAGTCCGTATATGTTTTAATTCAAACCAATATCGGTCCGAATATATTAAGGTGGTACGATATTGATTCATCAACATATTCGGACCATTTTCGGTCCGTATATTTATGGCGGCAATCAACGGTGGAAACGTGCCAATAATATTTAGACTGAAAACGGTCTGAATATTATTCCGTAAAAAAAATATTAAATAAAAAAATTAAGAATAGAATATTATTTAAATAAAGACTTACGGACCAAAATCAATCTGTATATATCATGAGTAAAGTGCCTAAGGTCAATTGAATTTACAGATCGTTATACATCTGAATAATTATTTATATTCAGACCAATTTCGGTCTGAATATAGCCGTAAGAGATTCCCTGAAACGATGAGACATTGGGACCCACTGTCAGAGTTATACGGACCGGGATCGATCTCGGTTCATATATGGTTCCTCACACCCTTCTTCCTCGCGGCGCCCGTCCCCTCCCCTTTTGCATTGCATCTCCGATTTTCCTTTGTTTTTTCTTCCTTTGCGCTGCAAGCTTCTCCTCCCCCAATCTCTGGCCAACGACAGAGGCAAATA